TTGTTATGTAAGCCCAGAAATGTTGTGCCTGAACAATGAGTCCTTTCAATTAACACAAATGTCTGAATTGAACATGAGACCTGGCCTCAGCCTCTCTTCACAACTATGGAAAGTTTGGCTATTTAATCCATATTAAATCTCTTAAACTGGAAAAGTGGAAGTACACTGAAGGTAGTGAAGAGAAGGGCCCCTCTTGCTGCTCAGCTGTGGCTTTCACTACAGTAAGTCCCCAACTTATGAACACTGGAGTTGTGAACTTTCTCAGTTAGAAACGGACTTCGAATTAGGAACAATCTTAGCCACAAACAAATCAGGGAAGTAGCTCACGTGTCTGGTGACATGTTACAGTTTTGGTGTTGTGTGCTCATTTACAGCACTCTGTGTACAGTAGGACAGTGCTCAATCAGAGCCCAGGATGTCCAAAAACATTATTTATAGTATTTGCGTGTGTGTGTTTGGGTTTTTTTTTTCATGCTTTACATTGTATACTTGTGTTATAGGTGTATAAGACACACTTTGTTGGACTTATAAACAAATCTGACTTTTGAACATTCTTCCGGAATGGAATTCGGTCCTAAGTCAGGGACTTACTGTGTTCTACTACTTAAATGTCACACGCATTGATTCATTTCATCAAGAGTTTGCCATCAGCTCGAGGGTGACAAGAAACATAACTCGTATCCCCTATTGCTGAGTAAAAACAGAAAATTCCAACCAGAAACCCCCATCTGTGTAACTATAAAGGCTGTGAAGTGCTTTCTTTCAGAGTGTGTACAATGTCTGAGAGCAGAAACTAGCAACACCTGCTAATGTGTCACATGTCACCTACTGCCAGCCTCTCCTGTTGCAGGCTATGTGGTGAGCAGGTTTCTATCAGGCTACCAGAGATAGAGGCCAAGGCAAGAGGCTGATGAAATTTACTTTTGTGGTCACAATTATTTCTGCTTCTCCCTCCAGCCTCCCATTTCCAAGTGCTTCTCAGAGGACCCACTGTCCTTGCCCCTGATTCAGGGTTCTCGGATTGCCTGGTCCCACTGTAGGCCACGGGAACCCAACCCCACAGTGGGTCTCTGGCCAGCACTTCAACTTTCCAGGCTGTGGTGCTCATGTCTTACCTCTTGGAAACATGCTAGTGACACAGAAGGCCCTGGATGGGCACTGAGGTCACTGTGCATTCCAGGCTTTGGAGTCAATTAGTCCTGCCTCAAATACTAACCCAAAGCAAAGCTGGACTGGGCGCCCCTCTTTCCCAAGTACCACCTGCCTTCTATTAACCGCCTTCTGAAATTATGTCCTTGAGCAAATATACTTTTTAAAAAGTGAATAATTTTTAACATACAGAAAAATTTAAAAGGTAGTATGAACTGTCTTGTGCATGGTACCAGTTTTACCAAATTTCAACATTTTCATCATACCAGGTTCAGATTTTTCGAGAAGATATAAATTATCTGTAGCATAAAAGGGCCTGTGTGGCCCTGCAAGGCCTCATTTCTCTCTCTTCAGAGGAAAAAATGTTCTTGAATTTAAAGTTGTGAATTCCTAAGTGCGTTGATGTATTCATGCCTAAACAATGTACGGTGTTCAAGGGTAGTTTATCAAATGTTATACAGTTCTTCTCATTCTGTATCAGCCATAAAATTTGCCCATGCTTTGTGATTTTCTAGGCTAAATATGTATCGCTAGAGTGATTAGTTCATTTGTTTTAACTTGTGAAGACTTTCATTATATAATATTCAACTTATGTCTTATAGTCAGCTTTATTGAGATATAATTAACATATAATAAACTGCGCATCTTAAAACATACATGTGATCACTTTTCCAATATGAAATAGTCTTTGCTTTCACGATTTCATGTTCTAGGTTTTGGTCTAAAATAATCCCTTTTATTCTGCGATCTTGTACACATCTGTTAAAATGCTTGTCTGTATTTCGTATCAAGGCTATACAATCTGCATAAAATAGGACTTTTGGTATTTTCTTTTTAAAAATTTTATTGAGTTTATTGGTACATTTAGGTATACCTTATGATCATATTCATCATTGAGAATTTGTACCTGTACATGATATTGCTTCTTATTTTTTTCCATTTCCCTTCCCTCCCTTCTGAAACAGTTTATGTAAGAATGAAATTATCAATTGTGTGAACTAGAGCCTGGTGTTATTTTGGGGGGTTGGGAATGTGAGTTGAAGGAGATGTTCAATTAATGATCAAATATCCTTTGCTTTTTAACTTTTGGTTTATTTAGGTTTTCTACTACTTATTTACTTAAGTTTTCAAATTATTGGCATAAAAATCAATACAATTTTCTTCTGTTTGAAAAAACTGTATTGTCTTTAAAACTAGATTTTTACCCCCCTCCAGTTCTTTTTCCTTTCTTAGGGCTAATACAGGTTTATCTTTTGAATTATTTTTTAGAAGTATGAATCCCTTAATATGGATTGCCAAGCTTTTACTTAACGGCCAGATAATCGATATTTTAGTTTTGGGAGACTACACAGTGTCTCTGTTATACATATATTTCTGTTTTTCTTTTGTAACAACCACTTAAAACTGAGGGAAATTCATTTTTATTCATAATTATTTTAATGTTAGGCTATGAGCTCTTCATTGCTGACACCGATTTTGTTTTCATTTACTTCTCTTTTGTTTATTGTTTTCATTCTATTACTGTCATTGACTTTTTTCACTTATGCTTCTCTAACTTCACTTAAAAGCTATCATTTTGCCGTGGATTTAGTTCAGTGGTTCCACCAACTGCCTGGCAAGCACAAGGTCCCGAGTTTGATCCCCAGTACCCAAAGGGGGGGAAAAGGTATCATTTTATTTTAGTATATTTTCTTTTCATTTTTTAAGAAATTGAACATTATCGATTTTCCTTCACATACTTTTTTGCTGCTTAGATATAGATCTTTCATTGTGGTACCTTTCTAACTTAAAAAAATTTTACTTTGAAAGTGTATTTTTATAAGAACACATTTTAAAGTTTCCAAATGTAAAAACTGTTACTCTTATTAGGGATAATATCAAGTTAGGTATAAAACATGGTCTCAGAGGAAGAGTTATTTGGTATTCAATCTTTATAAAAGTTGCTGAGACATCCCTTCCAACTGTGTGATTATTTTGATAATGTTCCATGTATAGATTTTCATATATTCTTTCCTAATCACTGAGTTCAAACCCAATGGACATCTGCCTAGCTTTAATGACACTGAATCTTTTTTTGTCTTCTTATATTTACAAAATTTCATAGGCAGAGGCCAAAACTGTTTCCAAATTTCTTTTGCATCTATTTCCTTTATAAGAGCCTATGTTTACCTTCAAAACTACTCATTTCTTGCTAATTTTCATATTTTCTTTCATGTTTTCAATTTTTTTCTTTCAAAATCAAAATTTCCCTTCATTCATCTCTTTAAATATTTTGAAGACTGTTTCTTTTAAGCTTCTTCTTCATTTTTTCTCATAAAACTTTCATCTTTAATGTAATGTGGTCTCCTGATTTTGTTGGCCATACTTTTAGGAATTCCAGATCCCTTTATTTGCTTTGGAATTGAGCTTTGAGTTTCAGTTTTGAAGGGAAGAAGTCATGTCTTCTCTCTTTTCCCCTTTTTCAGTTTACCCTAACAGTTTTACAGTGGCCTTTTCCTGGCCCTCGGCATCAGCATTCAGAAATCTGATCTTGTCTCTGTGTTTCTGAGGCTCTTATTTGTGGATTATCAGAAAAAGTATCGTGTAAGCCTCTATCCAACTACTGACTTGTTCCAGAATCCCATACCTGGAGTTTGTTTGCTAAAAGCTGCGACACTAGACAGAGGTTGGCAGAGCAAAGTAATACACTGCAAAGTTACCAATGTTTCTGAATACATAAGAGAGTGTTTAGAAAGAATATAAACCGTGTTTTTGAATATGGCTTACTGTTAAGTCATGAAAATTAAAACATACAAGCAGTAGGAAAAAAGCACTATTAATATGTCCACAAAGGAGTATAAGATACAGTGAAAATAAGCATTTTTGCAGTATGAAGTTATATCTGTCTTAATTCTCCCAAGGCACAGGAAGTACTTTATAATTTCAATATTTAAATTCTGGTTTATTTTTTATTTAATGCTGTGATAATTGCTAAGATAAAGCAGTAAGTATGAAATGAACCCACTTTCTCATAGACAAGAATATAGCAAAACAAAATGGAGTAAGACAAAGACTTCAGAGGGAAAGTGCAGGCAAAAAGAGGCTCACGGTTTACAAAGCCATTGAATTATGGGGCCATATTTTCTTCAGTAAAGAATACAAAATCTTCGGTCCTAGAAATCATACCTTTCCTTCTTTTATCTTGGTTCCAATAATTTGTCGTCTTTGCTGAATGATCTCAATGAGAAGATCACACTCCTCTGTCAATTTGGCCTCTTGACGTGAGGCATTGACCTATAGGAGAAATAAAATGACAAGGATTAATTTGGCCTTTGTTTTCAGTTAAATGCATTTTTGGTAGAGTAATGTGTTTCTAGTAACCCCTGAAATATGTTTTAAATATTAACTCTCCCTCCTAGTATGCAAGAATGGCAAATATTGGATGCATAGACCCACTTCCTTTATTGTACCCTTGGAAAATATTATTTAACGATAATAATATTTTCTGCCAAGCCAGGCTCACAACATGGACATAGCCATTGCCAACTAGTTAGAAATTGACATATGAAGTGAAATATATTTGTAATTACTGTTGTTATGTTTTGAAAGAAGTGTCCAGATTTGTCTTGTTAAATAAAAAAGTTTTTAAAAAATCTTATCTTTATTATTTTTTGTCTTTTGTTTTTTGAGACAGGGTCTCACTATGTAGTTGAGACTGACCTGGAACCCATTATGTAGCCCAGGCTGGTCTCAAACTCACAGCGATCCTCCTGCCTCAGCCTCCCACGTGCTGGGATTATGGACGTGCGCCACCCTGCCCAGCTTAAAAAAAATTTTATTCTTTATGGAAGACAGATTACTATTAATATCTTTCAAAGAAATTTTCCAAAAGCAATGTACCAAACTTGCACCATAGTTATTTAACATTTAATTATAGACAAAATTTGTATTTAATCACTATAAAAATATCAGAAATCACAAAAAGGATTGTTTGATATTTTATGAGTCTTATGACATCATTTTAAATTTTACTCCCAGTATACTTAAAGACCACATACAATAAAAACATACCATTCTTGTGGAAAGGTGGATCATTACAGAACAGATTGTATTTGAAAATTTTAAGACTCACTGTATGCAAGGGTGAGTTACAATTAGCTCATTCTTGGCAACTGGGCTTGGGATATACTTTGTACATGCTATTCCCTCCACCTCATGACAATCCTGAAGGGCGTATTCACAAATAGAAACCCACAAATCACAGCTGTGTGAGATGGAGACAGCATGTATGCATTGCTATTATTTTAACACAACTGCTGAAGTTGTAATGTTACAAACAGTGACAATGGCACAGATCATTCAAGCATATCTCTGAAGGGAGACAAGGCCCAGTTGGGAGACTTTTTGATTTGGGGGGCTTTAAGTGGAGTAATTTCATGCTTTATGAATAAGATAAACTGGAATTGGGGTCATGAGGATAGAAATCCATGGATCATGGCTCAGAGAAACCATGTCCTGTTTCCAGATGCCCAGGATCCTTCGAATTTTGTTTCTTTCATCATCAGATGCAACATAAAAACTAGTCAAGACACATTATTGAAAAAGTGATGGTCACCAGCCATTTGTATAAAAGTATAACATCATATCTTACATTATATCAGCACACAGAATTATTTGCTGGATGTTTGTCCAATGAACAACAACAACAACAAAATCTTTTAATGCTCTGATTGGCAAATGCAGAATGTAAAACTTGGGCTAAAACCTCAAGGAAAGATAACCACTGAGCTCAATTTATCTACCTTTAATGTCATCAGTTCTAGTCCCCCCTTGAGGTTTTCCAAATCAATTTAGTTTTCTACTGAAGTGTTTACTTGAAACTTACACTCAAGAAATTTAGTACCTTTCCTTCAGACTTCAAACTGAATCTAATAACTAACCACAACTGAGCTGTAAAAGGAAGAGACCATATTGACAATATGAGCACATTATGATGGAGGAAATGAAATTTCTGGACTATAGCATGGACAAAGATTCTTTGCTTGGCCAAACTTTAGTCAGGATCTTTCTGCTAGGCCCATCTGTACACTTCCGCATAAAAAATAAGAGCCCTGCTAAGTTGGTCTCTGAGATCCTTCATCCTCCATGTCTGGTCAGCCCTAATATCTGATCTCAGCTTCCACCACACATTTTCTGATCACCTTGGCTTGGCTTCAAAAAGAATTCTATTAGGTTAGCTTACCCAGAATCCCCCATACCACCGATGTTTCCCCTGAATGGGATCCATTTCAGTCTCAAAATTGTTGGGATTTTAGTTACTCTATGGTAGTAACGTATCCAAGTTATCATGGTAAATGAGATTCAATTTAGTCTAAATTCTGACATTGATTTTTAGGAAGGATGGGTTAACATCACAAGAAAAAAGTAAACTGAAATCTCCCTTGTTGAGCCAGATATGTTCTGAGAAATCTGATACCACAATCATCATCCCCTCAGAACTGTAAATTCCCAGAAATTTGGGAACACGGTCTATTAATCTTAGGCCAAGTATTTCTCCTAGATCCTTCAAAGAATATGGACTGAACTTCTCTTTAAAACCAGGAAAGTTGAATATTTTTCTACTTTGATGAAGTTCCAATTTTTTGTTAACTTTAGCATTCTTATATTCCTAAAGGTGCAATAAAATAAGCTGAATATTATCCTGTATTTCTGAAATTACTGCACCACAATGAAGTTTTCCACAGTTTTGCTATTTCATATGTTGCTTTTAGAAAGTTAATGATTTGATTGGACTTCATTTCTTATGAGTCATTAATTCAAATATGGCAAGGTTTAGGGGTTGCTTGCAATGTATATGTTCGGGTGTCTCTAATCCTTAAGCTTTAGCTTTCATTTTGGATTCACATTTTTTATTCAAAAAACCACTGGGCTAATGGCAGTGCTCTGAGTAGGGCCAATCTAAGGAAGGCAGGAAATAATCTGCAAACCTCCTTCCTTCAACTTACGCTTCCACTTTTGTGCCATCAGTCTATCCTTTGGTCCCTACGCTACAGGCAATAGTGCAGGGGAGATGATGAGGGATGGTGCTCACTCTGGACCACGCTGGAAATGAGACCCGGGTCCTTCAGAACCCTTGACTTTTCAGAACAAAATACAACTTAACCTTCTGCCCTCTGCCCACGCCAGCCTTCTCACTGCTACATTCTTTCAAGCATACTGATGAACAAATATCACATCAGCCCCTCTACCTGAGAAATTCAGTTAGATGTTTTGGCCTTATCTCTCTTTTGGCCTTACCCATGTGCTCAATCTTCACTCTACATAGCATTCCTTTCTCCTCTTGAAATGCCTCATTTTCTTCTCAGAGTTTTCTACTCTTCCTTAGAATTAGTTTCATCTCTTTGCAACATACTTCCAATTCCTTGAAAGTTACATCTGATTTCAATTCTTTCCAAAATGAGAATTCATTACCATCCATCTTATAGGTGTTAACTCATTATCTGAAACCGGAAATGCCATTGCCAATGTCATGCCACAATGAGTCTTAACTACTTCTAGAAAACACTTAAAGCCGGGCATGGTGGCACACGCCTGTAATCCCAGCACACGGGAGGCTGAGACAGGAGGATCTCTGTGAGTTCAAAACCAGTCTGGACTACAAAGTGAGTTCCAGGTCAGTCTCAATCACATAGTGAGACCCTGTCTCAAAAAAAACAAACAAACAAAAAATAGAAAATACTTAAAACTCTTGCTTTGAAGGGGCTGCACCAATTGTTCATTCATCCATTCATTGAAAAATAGCTACTGGGTTCCAACAGAGTATCAGACAGCATGCCATGGGTTACAAGACAGATAAAGTCTCCATTATCACAGAATTTACGTATAAGTATAGGAAATAGGAGGAACAAGTAAATTAATAAAAATTTCAGATCATGATGGGTGCAGAAGAAAATCAGAGAGTTATACAATGTGATCAAACAGCTGAGAGTGAGCTGCTTTTTATTGGTGGTCAGTCAAGAATTCTCTGACAAGAGATGAAATAAAACCAGACACAAGATGTGGAAAGAGTGTTTTCAGGATCTCCTGACTCAGTATGCAGCAGGCTAACTTCAAATTTGCATCTAGTCCATCCTCATTATTTGAGGATCCTGTATGTATACAAATTCTTGTACCCAGTAAAATTTTTAAAACATTTTATTTGTAACCCCCAAATCAATATTTGTGGCCCTTTTGCCTCTGTTTACAGATGTGCACGGACCATTGAAAAATATGAATTGCCCAATGCACACCCAGCTGAGGTCGAGCAAGGTGACTCTCTGCCTTCTGCGTTGGCTCTCCTAACTACAAGGTGAGGATGACAGAGAGGCCCTTTGAGTCGGACTAGAGCCCCAACTCCGAAGACTGTTAGTAGAGTAGTCTTAGGCTAGTCACTTACTTCTAATCTTCCTTTTGTCTTTTGTAAAGTAAAAGAAGATGGAATCTACCAATATGAGTTGGTTTTAGAATTTATGATTATAATCTTGGTTTGATAGCTGTGTGTGTATATATATATTTCCTAGGAGCAATGGTTCCATATTCAAAAAGTCAATGCTCATGGTGACTTCATAAAACGTAAATATTTCAAATAACACACATCACCTGTATTTTCCTTCTATGTGGTGTGTCCATAATTTCTGTAAGTATTTTCGGAGCAAGGACGGCTGAATAGGAAAGGAAATTACATAAGTAGAACGCTGCACAAGAGTCTTGCCTGTAGGGAGTTGCTGACCCACTTTCTCCTATTCTGAGGGTAATTTTGTGCTTCTCAGACTGTGACCTTCAGATCGTTTATGGTCTGATTGGAATTAGAAAGCTTAATAATGAAGTGAGTGCAGAATGGAAACACTCCTGCCCGGCCCTTCTACACCTGAGAGCACGGTCAGCATTCAGGCTTTTTCTGCTGTGTTAATGCTCATATCAGATACCAATAATCAGTTACAGACCCATGTAAACGGTTACTGAGTGCACAGTTTCCCTTCTTTTTAGAAATGCAGCTACACATAATCATTCCCCAGTTTAGTTCATGATAAATGAGTTAGCTATTTTCCCCAGAACATTTGGTTAGCACTGCACAGTAAAAAGTCCTCCTGCTATGTTTTATGGTGTAATAGTATTACAGGTTTTCAGGGAGGGGGCAGGGTAAAGAGGACACATTTTTGCAAATATGTATAAATATTAAAGAGATTTAATTACATACACATACTAAAATTGGATTATGTGAATGTGAAATGTACTTTAGCAGTCTGTAAATGGTT